ACTGAGAGCAATGAAAACCTTTGGCGCTGACTCCCAAAAATGGTCCTACCGATGTCACCACATTCAAAACACCCAGGGCATGCCAGGCCTATTGCGCACATCAAACCTGAAGCTCAACAGAACCAGATGCCGCAAGAACACCAACACTGGTGGAGAAGCAGATAATGACCGATCGATCACATGAGCAACACTCATGCGGTCCATATGAAACAACCCTGTTCTCTCCCTGAGGTCCCACAATTCAAATGCTACAACAATAGGAAAAAGCTATAAAGATATCAGATTTGCATGATAACCAGCTGGCGCCAACTGGATGGCTACATTGCCATGTACCATTTATCCCATAAAATTGCTGCAAACCCGACAGATCCTGACACATTTGTGAAGAGTTCCAATTCCAAACTACACACTGTTTCTCTCAACTAACATAAATACCCATTATATTTCACAAAAAAAGAGTTCCACACCTGTAGGTCAGCCCCCAGTTTAGCAATGACCTGCAGTTAATGTCGGAATAACCTCTGCTAAATACATATAAGGGATTAAGAAACACTGAAAACACCTCTTCCAATATCCTAGTTTCTTGAACATTAGGGTCACAGGACCATCTTACCATGCTCACCAGCATCCTCTCTCTTTGAAATATCATTACGTACATCCACTCCTCGAAAGTGTCAAAATGCTATGAGTTCCTTATTAAACAACACACCACAGAGGCATCTTCAATATTTTTATAAACAGGAGTTAATTCCATTTTGCTATTAAATGTTGATTTTAATAAAGAAACGGAGGCGAGTATTGCATATCTCTTTCTTTACAGTCCACCATTAACAGCAAAGAATACAAACAGGAAAAAAAAAATAAGGCACACCCAGTAACAGTCTACTCCCCATCCAGGTCCCACTACAGCAGCAAGCATCTCCCCAAGAACAGAAAACATCAGATGTAAGCCAACAGAGTACAAATCCCCAAGCCCTTAGGTTTAAAACAGGAAACAGTCCAAACAGGATACAAACCCAGAACAGCAACGGAACAGTGATAACCGAAAAGACTCAAAAGGTTCGTAGCGACATCGAACAGATCCAGATCAGGCTATAAAACATAAAGGAGCCCAACGGATCAATCGGTACTGCAAACCAACATCAAGGCCAGATAACAATAGGCACCATAATTAAAAAGCCAAAATCGCCAACAGCATACTCCCAATAGAGCATTGACTGACAACATCACACAAAACCACATAAGTATAATACCCCACTTACCATTGAGCCCCTATCTGAGACAGAAGAACAACATGGGTTTGGGGGGGAGGGAATATACAAAATAATATGCAGGAAAAAAAACAAAATCATAATACATACCAGGTGGGACAATACTCGCCTCTGTGTCTTTAATAAAATCATGACATTTCCTCATGTAATAGCAAAATCATGTGATTTTATAGTAAGACATAGAGGGTCATATTGCAAGTTTAAAGCTGACTGACCACTGCAGAAAACACGTGTGCAACTGGATGAAAATAAAATTAATGGCAAAAAGACTCTTGAGACCAGTCGGCCGTCTTCATTAAATCCTCCACTCATGCTCCCAACACCATAATCGAAGAGGCAGGCACACCCCTGACAGAATGAGCCAAAACCCCCAGCCCTATAGTAAAAATTGTGATAGGAACCACACTCAATCCCAGCAGCCACCCAATGCTCCGGAGTAGGACCAGCAGTCCAATAACGACAAAGCAGCACAAGAAATTCTCCAGGCACTCAAGGTGTTTCAACCTACTAAGAGGTTTTTGTCAAGCATGACAAAGACCTCTTAGCAGGCCATAACGTTGCTGCTCTTTTTGTTCTATTAAAACTGCCTGTGGCTTCAACACTTTGAGTGCCTGGAGAATTTCTTGTGCTGCCCTATAGTAAGGCATCCACGGCCTCTGCTACTGGACGCCAGCTGAAGAGGCGCTGTAGCTGGGTGCATTGAACCGCGACACAAATAGGTCGACAGCAAAAGGGCCCCAGAGGGATGAGACAGCTGAGAATACCCTGATGTCCAATCTCCAATTGCTGTTGTTGGAGAGATAGCTAGAAAGATGTGCAAGGTTGGGAGATACTCCACCTGGACCACCAAATTCTGTGCCAAGGAAAACCGAAAAATATAATGTTAAACAAGCCAGAACTGCAGACTGCATACATGTGATTGAATTATCAGACCGCTGAAACATTGTCCATATGGGGTCGAATGCAGGCATGGGCGGTCCCTTTCACGAAACGCCGAGCCACAAAGGAACCCACCAGAAGTTCCAAGGCATTGATGTGGAGCCGTGATTCGGTATCTGGCCAGTGACCTCCAGTCAACACACCCTTACTCTGGGCAAACCAGCTATGGAGGCTCGCGTTCGAATCTATTGTGAACTTCGGTTGAGACCCAAAGATTGATCTGCCATTCCACTCAGACAGGTTGTGGATCCACCAGCGTAGATCGTCCCTCGTTTCGAATGTCCAGGGAGATCAGATCCGCATAGGATGCACCATCGCCTAGTGGAGAGGAGCTGGAAACAACGCCTGGATTGGCGATGCTAACAGCCCAATGATCCTTGCCAAGTGACACAGGGTGATTCGTGGCTCAGCGCAGTTCCTTGCGGATAGTCTGACTTTGAATGATGGCAGGCTCCCCGATTCCTCCTCCTAATCCACGAACGACCCCAAAAATTCCATGTGCCTGGATGGGGCCAGACAGGACTCTTCCCAGTTGATGAAGAACCCCAGGTGGAAGAGTAGATCCATGGTACACATTAGATGTTGCAGGATGATGGAGCAATCCTGAGCCATGAGCAGAATGTCATCCAGGAAGACAATAAGGTGCATGCCTCAACTGCACAGCCAGGCTATCGCCCGTAGCACCAAGACACTGAAGAGAGACCAAAGGGAAGACATGTAAGACGCCATATGCTGTTCCTCCAGCGGAAGCGAAGGAGATCCCTTGATGGTTTGCCCACCGGAACCATTAAGTGTGAGCCCTTCAAATCCAGTTTTGCCAACCAATCCCTGCACAGGAGCAGGTCCCTTAGGAGATGAATGCCCTTCATCTTGAAATGCACACCGAAGAATTGAGTGACTGGGCGCATCTGTCCACATTTCTTTTCTATGAGGAAGAAGTTGTTGTTGACCCCGGAGGGGCTTGTTGGAGCTAGTTCTATCGCCTCCTTGACTAGGAGTGCCAACAACTACTCGTCAATCAACCTGTGATCCCGAAGGGAAAAGCAGATCGGTTGAGGGGACGGAATGTAGCAAGGTACCCTATCTGTAAGCTCTATCTGGAAGCCTTGAACTGTGTCGAGGACCCATGCATCGGAGGTTATAGCTGACTAAGTTGGAAAATAATGATGCAGTCTGCCCCCAACACAAATATGAGAAGAAACATGATGAGGCAGTCTTAAACTTATGTATGGGTGTCTTGCACTGGAATTTCCACGGAAGCCCCTTCACTGCCATGGTCTTCCATGTGATGGGAAGAAAGGGGACCACCTTCTGGTCTCCTGGTAGGGTGGGTGGTGGGTAAAGGATCCTAGTCCCAAGCCATGGGAGTTAAAGTAACTGTGGCCAGCCAGGTGACCCCTGGATCTGCCGGCCCTGGTATTGACCAGCACCTGGAATACCATTATCATTGAGGACTGGGCCTTATCCAGTACAGTAAATGCCCCTACAAAGTGCCCCAGGCCCTTGATAAAGAAGTCACCAAAGAGTCACCTTATCCTATATCCTTACCAGCCTCAGTGAGGGCGAGATTGCCCAACTTAAGCTCAATTTTAAATAAAATGGCCTTATGCTGTTCCATTTAAAGGGAGGCGTTAACATTCCCTGCAATGCAAATGGCCCATTGTACCAAACCACAGAGTTCTTCTGGGTCAACTAACCAGTTATCGTCCCTGGCGTCTTCCACCAGATCAAAGAGCTTAGCCAGGAGAACAAAAATGTCCAAGTGTTTTTCCTGACATGATCTTTGTGCCGAATCTAGACCCTAATGTGGGTATCAACCCAATTTGACTAAGAACTCTATCATCTTAGGGTCTACCTCTGGGGTGTCACACACACACACACACGTATTAGGCACCACAGGCCTAGGGCAGCCTTGCTGAGTGGTGGGCCATATGGTCCGCTGGGAGCTACGCGGCTGACCTAGGGTGATGGAGATCATCCTGGTCGAACAAGGGTTCACCCAACAGATCCAGGAGAGCAGTCCCCGCATCCGCTGGAGGATCAGCCTGTAGTTCACCTCCATATCCAAGGCCCATATCCACAGAATCCTTCTCCTAATTGCTACAGGACTTGATACCAGCTTCCTCTCTAGACTTATTTTCTGAGTCAGAATCACTCTTTTTGCGCTCTGGCACATTTTTATTGCCGCGCCCGTTCTGCCTGTCGCAGAAAGGCTCTTTTGCGTGGTTGAGACACGAACTCTGAGGTGACCAAATGTACACCAGTCATAGGGGTTCTGGAGGCAGAGGGAGATATTTGCCTAGATTTGCGACTAGTGTTTTTGGGTGTGTCCCCTAAAGGGTCCACTTTTGGACATGGTTGGTGCCTCGTTGAACCAGAGAAATTCGCATCCGGAGGGCATGCAAGCAGGGCCTGGGAGATTGTATGAGACAAGGCTGAGGACATAGAGTCTCATCAGCATGGCTGACAGGGCCCACGGACAAGGGAGGGGATCTAGATGTAGCGGGGATATCCATCACCCCAAGGAATAGGGGGGCATACAGGCATCTTAAGCTTAGGCATAGTAACCCACAGTAGCCTACAAATATATAAGGATGTAATCAAAACCTAAATAGTGGCAGACACTGTAATAAAATGTGAGAATAGTAAGGGTTAATCACCCAAGGAAGGGACAGGATAGAGAGCTCACCAAGGCCTAGACTGGCAGTAGAAACACGAGGCAGGAAAGGCAGGAAAGGAAGGAGAAAACCAGAAAAAAAAAAATCCTAAATCGCATAAAAAAAAAAGCGAATGCAGTTAAAAACTATGGAACTAATTCAGTTTGCCAATGCGAATGTTTTGTCACCCAAAGGCACCAGAAGTGGTTCTGGGACCCGTGGAAGCCCTGAAAAACCCAGTACAGAGCAGGAAACCCCATCGATAGCAAATAAAACAGAGGTAGCGGTACACCACAGACCCCAGAGGGAAAATAAACAGAGGGTACAGAAACAGAGGAGTGGACCTCCAAATACAGAGATAAATAAAAGAGGAAAGGAGAAGGGACCTACAGCTAGTGTAGGAATCCTTGGCATAGAAACAGATGAATACAATAACATGAAGTAAAATCCAAAACCATAAGCACAAGCAAAAAATCCAGAGACAGATAAAATAGGTACTTAACTTACTGTGGAGCAGCAAAGAAAGAGGAAGGTCTTAGGGAGATGCTTGCTATTATAGAGGGACCTGGACAGGGAGTGGCCTATGTTACGGTGTAGGTCTTATTTTTTCTTCCAGTTTGTATTCTTTGCTGCTATTGGTGGACAGTAAAGAAAGGTATTTCCAATATGAGCCTCCGTGTCTTGCTCTAAAATTCAATCTTAGTGAGATAATTTGGTTTCTTTCAAATAGATGAATTTTTTTTCTTAATAATCTCTAAAATGATGGGTTTCTAAGATACAATACTATAAATATTTAAACTATCAACGTAGGATTATGGATCCAATAACCAAATAAGTCAGAGGTGATATGATATTCTAAGCATTTTATGCAGTCTAGATTAATGTTCCTAGCAGACAAATGATATGATATAGTAATGTTGCATGCATCTATGGGAATGTGCCATTAAAAGTTCACTGCACTGTAAGCACAGCTGTATTTAAATAGAAACTCAACATTTGAAAATAAAATAAACAGTAATTAAAAACACTCAGCACTGAGAATTATGTTTCACCAGCTGAGTTATTTAATGAAAGAGAAAGACATATATTCCACAGTACTGATGCTAATAGTAATCTTTGGAGTAGGACTTGGTGAAGATTTAAATATACATTTTCTACCTTGCAAAAATGTTTTGTTAGTTAAATAATGTAAAGAGCCATAAAAATATAATTTAGACACGTATAATTTTGGAGAAAAGATGGTGCTACTGGTAAAGTAAATCCCAATACAAATCTAAATATATCTCATAGTTATAAAAAGAACCAGGTCACTCTTTGAGAGAGATGTTTTGTTAATTTGAAATAATATACCCATGTGTACATGTAATGTAATAATATACAAACAATAAGCAAAATTTAAATACTTAATATAATAGTGGTGCGCTCACTTTTATATTTAAAAGAACAGTATAGGGTCAGGAATACAAACGTGTATTCCTTCCTCTATGATATTAAAACCATGATTCTCTCCCTTGCCCCCTCTTATAAAGATGTTCTCGGAAAAGTCACTTCCATTTAAACTGGTCCTTATGCTGCTACAACATACTAACAACTTGTCATCCTCATATAAGAAGTCTATAATGATTAGAAACCTAAATATTGCAAAAGGCCTCATTCCCCTCCTATGGAGACAGAGGTCTACACTATCCCTCAGACTCTGGTTCACACGTATGAAGAAATTGAGGTCTGTGAAGGAAATCATATCCATACAACAAAACAAGACCAAACCTCCATACAGATCTGGTCCCATTGGTTGCTGACCACAGCCACTAAGGATTTCCAGGGCCTCTTAGAACAGGGTTGACCAGGGAGTGAGACCCTCACACTAGACCCCATCCAATAGTCGGGTTGATGATTACAGCCTGAATATTTCAGTTCATACTCACTACACCACATATCCATGATGCTACCACTACCTTTTGTTACCCAATGAAGTATCATTATTGTCAAGAAACTACACTTTTTGTTCATTAACTTTGATTTTCCTCGTTTGGTAGATAAAACTACCGAACACCCACCACCCAGGAGAGCGCTATGTGTGCAGTCAGTCAAATAAGGGACTTCCAGGAAATTCCTGAACCCTCAACCGATCTGAGCAATTTTTGGATATGTTGGTCACCCAGACTGGGGCCATCAGGGTATGTGACTGTGGCAAAACTAGCCACTGGAGACTATTAATGTATAAGTATGTTTGTATTCTTGCTAAAGCCGTAGAGATCAGTGCAGGATTCTATTTGTATTTCAGGCGAATGAGGGCATTCGTATGCTGGCGGTATGAAAACCCCAGCATTCATACTGTGGTTTCACGAACAGTGAGTTTAAACACTGTTCGTGAAATGAACAACTTACCGAATGCACGACCACACACAGGGGGTCGTGTGGCGCCCATTAACCGATTGCAACATCCCCTGATGTTAATTGGTATTTTGAGCAGAACTTGAATTTCATGTGTGTTTCGTGCGGCGTTCAGTTAGTTAGGCTGGGATCTGAGCGGTATTCTCACAAACTATGCGCTCAGACCCCAGCTATCTACCGAACGTCCATTCGTTTAAATGAAGGGAATATTATGGGAGATATGTATTTTAATGTAAAATGTAAGTTCTGCTGCACGGAGGGATAACAGTATATTCTCATGGGAGTATCCCTCTCATGCAGCAGTGCATGGTGGGAAAAATGCATGTATTGTTTGGTTCCCCATGTAGTCCCCTACTGTACCACCCCTGGAATGTCAGTAGGGAAACCCCTTACATGGGGAATCCCATAAATACTGTGACCTGAAAATAAAACCTCAGTTGACCTCCAAGCTATGTGTCGTCTAGTTCTTGGGAGGAAGGGATTATTATTATTATTATTATTATATTATTTATATAGCGCCAACAAATTCCGTAGCGCTGTACAATTGGGTGGACTAACAGACACATAATTGAGATCAGACCACTGACGTACAGGAACAGAGGGGGTTGAGGATTGTAACTACGCTACCTGGATTGTACCTGCTTTGTGCCTGCTTGATTCTGTCTACCAGCGGAGATACTGTGGAGAATACTACTACTCTGCTACAGTGACTTTTTGGGGGTTTTCATGCATTTCGGGGGCACTTTTGGGATGTTTTTGTATTGCAAGTTTTTCTGTATCGAGATAATTTAATTTTCTATGTTTGCTGTAACCAAGTCATCTCTCAATCAGGGAATGCCCCTGGAATGGGAATTGGGAAATCCCTTGCATAGAAGCCTGCCAATTGACTTGAATAAAGTCATTCCTGCTTGTACCCTTCATCTAGTCTAGGCTGATGTTTGGGTATGTGTCTGCTTAATCAGTGTATTTACTTGGCTGCTGTACTTTTGTCTGGAGAACGTTCGAATCTGCACCCGAAATACGAGCTATAATCACTCAGCCTCTAGCAGTTTGAGAGGAAACAAACAAATGGGTATCTGAAATACCAACTTTCTTAACAATTATATACCGCAATGTATTATTTGTATGTGTTAAAATGAGTAAAGCCCCACAAAGTTTCAGATGCCCCCCTTTAAAGCTTCCATTAATGTCTACTACTGAAGTTAACTTTCAGACACATTTATATATAACCTGCACTCTAGGTTGTCTAACTAATCAAATGTTAATCCCACTATTGAGGAGATTTCACGGGACCTGCACATCCCATACTGTTCTTTTTTGTACCCCTTCTTCTACATTAGAATGCGTTTCACAGGCTTGCTAATACCATTTTAGCCACGGTTCTCGTGAAACTCGCGACAGCCATCTTGTTGGTGTTAGTCACAGATTTTGCTCCCATCACGAAGAGGCTCTCGGTAATTTCATTTTTTGCTGTCCAACTGCACTGTGCATACTGTCAGGGACCTGATCAGGTTGGTTTTATACCCCTAGGGAATGGGACTGTTAGTCAGGTTTACCCTAGTATTCTGGTAAGGGGTGAGCACCCATTTGGGTAATACCCAGAATGCTGCTGAAATATTTATTTGCCATTCCGATTTCCTGGGTGAGCCCCAGCGATTATACTAATGGAGTCTGCTTGTTGCTGCATGCTGTTAGGCTGTGTATAAGCTAAGGTCCATATACCTCCCCTACCTGTGCCTGTTTATAACAATTTTGCTAATGTAGCTATTTAGGCCTATCATGGAAGATACCCAGAACCCCATGGATATCCAGTCTAATATCAACGCAGCGATGGTTGCATCCCTGGAGAAGGCTATGGCCAAAGTGTTCCCGGCGGCGTCTGACACTATCACGCCGGCTCTAAAGCGCACCCAAGGCTGGGAAGACTCAGACGAGTTGGATGATGCCAGGCAAAGTGCCATTGGAAAGGCAAGGGCCCCAGGAAGGATCCTGGCAAGGGACGCAATAATCCCGGCACTGGGCGCAATAAATGCCCAGCGCCGATCGCCTCCCTCCTATTCCTCAGATGAGGAAAGAAATGTGCTTCATTCCCTGTCCATCGTGGACACGGTGATTTGGGCACCAACTCCTACATCAGGGAGACCTTTCTGGGTGTGCCCCAGAGTAAGGAGGATGCAGGGATGATGGAAATATCCGCTGCTCAGGAACAGGAGGTTTTCCAGGATGCCATGGGTCAGAGGATGTTTGACCTCAGGAACATCAAGCATCCCCGCTCCAGGGAGTGGACTCCACCAGAACACCTCCTTAAATGATAGTCGCCTTTTTCTTTGATTCCTTTGGCACGGAATCCTGTGGCTGTTCACTTGCCTCCCTTTCAGACTCAGCTCTGCACCATGGTGTTTCACCAAGATGCTGAAACCAGTGGTGGCCCATCTCAGAGCACAGAGGATCCGATGCGTTATATACCTGGACAACATTCTACTGTTCTGCAGGACGAGCGACCTACTATCACAACATACCGGATATACGGTACAGTTGTTGGAATCTCTGTGATTCATAGTCAACAGGGTCAAGTCGGAAACTGACCCTTCATCAGAAAATTAAATTCCTGGGCTTCGAGATAGACTCCAGGTCCTGAACGCTGCACCTTCCATCTTCAAAAGTGACGTCCATTCGAAAGGAGATCTGCATGGTCCATCCCGCTAAAGCAACTCACCCGGATCATGGGCCTGCTATCCTCCTCACTCCAAGCCCTATTTTCAGGCCCTTTGCATTATCGTGCCATGCAAAGGCTGAAGGCCTGCTTACTCAGACGAGACACCACATACAACCAGCTGCCTTCACTGACAGATGAGGTTCATCAAGAACTCAAATGGTGGCTCCATTGCATGCAAGTATGGAATGGTCGAGCCATCCGGACTTCATACTAGAGTCGGACGCCAGCAGGTGGAAATGGGGAGCTACCAATGGGGGTGCATCCACAGGAGGAGCATGGACTCCCATTTCATGGGTGCATGGTGTACCAACGACTTATCGTCAGCAACTAGAGATCTGCTGTGGGACTCCTGGGCCCCAGGAACAAGAAAAAGTTACCTATCTGCCTGGCAATCTTGGACCAATTGGTGTTTGGGACGGAACCCTTTACAGCACCTATTACCGCGATCATGAACTTCCTCTCTTCACTCTTCAAGGAAGGTAAGTCATGCCGTACCATCAACGTCATCAGGTCCGCTATATAGGCAGCCCATGTATTGGTTCAAGGGAGGGCGACGGGTCAAGACCCTCTGATATGTCGACTGCTACGAGGCATCATACTTAGACGTCCTCCGGACCCCAAATATAACCATCTGTGGTATGTGGATGTAGTGCTTCGGTTCTTAAGAGGACAGTCATCTAACGAACTTCTATCCTTATGACAACTGACGGCCAAATTTACCTTTCTACTGCGTCTCATCTCGTTCTGATGAGTCTTGGATGTGCGCACTTTCGACGTGTATGCTTTCTCGGTCGCTCCCGAGGGAGTCACGTTCCGAATCTTACAACGCACCAAATTGGATTCGTCTCCTACCCGTTCTTTGCCTCGGACTCTCAACTTTGCGTGGTCATGGCACTGCGGGCGTATGTGAAGGCGACGGAGTTGTTACGCACAATATCATCCCGACAATTGCTGGTTTCATATGTCAGTCCATGTGGTCCGGTTTCAGTCACCACTTTGTCCAGATGGTTTAGATGGCTACTTACGTTGGCCGGTATAGACTAGTATTTCGGTGCCCACTTATTTCATGGTGCGGCGGCATCGTCGGCTTTTATGTCGGGCGTGTCTCTTTCGGATATCTTACAAGCGGCGGACTGGTCAATGCGAATCCATGTTCCGGACATTCTATTTCCGTTATCTAACACTGCGTTTTCTCTTCTTACCAAGCGTTAAAATGGCAAAATATGAAGCCTCCTGTCACATGGTAAAATTGAAGATTGTACTAGTTTAGTGTATTAATAATCTTAATTTTAATAATGACAGGAGGCTATTTTTCCCCCCCCCTTTTGTGGTTTGTCCCAACCCTGGTATGAGGTAAGTAATAGGGCTACAGGACTCTTGGGTTTGCAGTACTTGATAAATATACTGTACATGTATAGATAATTATCGTATAAAGAATCGTCATTCTTGCATGTGGGAACAGTTATAGTGCTGTTAGCATCTGATAATGTTAAAATATTTTAGTTATATTAATATCTGATTACGTAAGCTTACCGTTATACGTTTAAACGGTCAGTTCTGTATCACTGAAAATAGTTTCCTTTTCTTTCAGCTTAACCAGTCTATGGGAGGAATTAGTTTCCCTTATCGTCTTCAAGACTGAAGTTGGGTTTTCGTACATCAGAGGAAGTGATGTGGATATGCTTTCCCTTATATAGACTGACTGTGTTCTGATTGGTTCTTTATTTCATCTGTTTTTTCTTTGCTGCTATTGAGTTTGTAAAGAAAGTTAATGCAAAATATGAAGCCTCCTTTCATTATTAAAATTAAGATTATTAATACACTACGCTAGTATTATCTTCAATTATCATCACTGTAGAAAATACAAATTAAAAAAGAAATATATATATATATATATATATATATCATAATTTTATGGCTTTTCATATAAAACCAGACATATTCTTCTTGCTTTACAAATACAAAGCCAGTCTTTTTACAGTGCCATTGATGTTAAATGGTAAACAACTAATGGTATTTGCAAAGTATTGGGTGGATACACCCAGCTCTTGATGTTCTACATCTGTGGCTTCTTAGTATAGAATATGTTCTTAAAGGAACACTATAGTCACCTAAATTACTTTAGCTAAATAAAGCAGTTTTAGTGTATAGATCATTCCCCTGCAATTTCACTGCTCAATTCACTGTCATTTAGGAGTTAAATCACTTTGTTTCTGTTTATGCAGTCCTAGCCACACCTCTCCTAGCTATAATTGACAGAGCCTGCATGAAAAAAAAAACTGGTTTCACTTTCAAACAGATGTAATTTACCTTAAATAATTGTGTATCTCAATCTCTAAATTGAACTTTAATCACATAGAGGAGGCTCTTGCAGGGTCTAGCAAGCTATTAACATAGCAGGGGATACGACAATCTTAATTAAACAGAACTTGCAATAAAGAAAGCCTAAATAGGGCTCTCTTTACAGGAAGTGTTTATGGAAGGCTGTGCAAGTCACATGCAGGAAGGTGTGACTAGGGTTCATAGACAAAGGGATTTAACTCCTAAATGGCAGAGGATTGAGCAGTGAGGCTGCAGGGGCATGTTCTATACACCAAAACTGCTTCATTAAGCTAAAGTTGTTCAGGTGACTGTAGTGTCCCTTTAATATACACACCACAAAAGTAGGTAAAAATGAATATATCATCATTACAATGTCAATGTGATTGATATTCTTTTTGGCAATTCTAATAATGTTACATGGACACCTGGTACTAGAAAATGCTTGCAATGCTTAGTACCATCTGTTCATGTCACTAAAGATTAACCATGCCTTAGTGAAATATAGGTAAGAAAAAAACAACAACAAAAAAACAACAATTGAATATTCTACAATTACTCTTGTTTTTACTTTACTACATTATAATATTTATTGTCAGTCCTGAATGTGGTGGATTAATATGGGCCCCCTGTTTAAATGTGCCCATGCATGTCAGGGTATTTCAGCCCCTACACAAGTGCCTCAGTAGCGCTCTGCATATGAATACTAAAATCTGGACCAATGCTTTAAATCCATGCCCAATTTTAAAAAGCTGAGCTATTTGCCTGTTGGCAAGCTACAGGTGGCACAAGGGTTAATTACTTAGTGGTTGAACAGTGCCTGCTCTCCCCCATCTCATTAAACAGTGAAAATAAATAAATAAAAAGCCTATGGAGGGACAGTAGTCATATAGTGTCCTCCTCTGGACTCCAGCCATTGGGGGGAGACA